TAAACTTCTGCCAGTCTAGCCACACCCACGCTGCCGAGCGTTCATTGGCTGAGTGGTGGTGTGAGTGATGAGCGAATGTGATCATATGAGAAAGAAGGGAAACCTGTTGACGCCCACTGAAGGGATTGGTATGAGATACCAATATGAGAAAGGAAGAGCCTAGGAGGATAATTCTCCTCAGACCTCTCACCACAGAAGGGGGAGAACCCATCTAAAATAGAAAGTAATTGACTTCCAAAAATGGGAAGTGATAAACGAAGGGCCCCAGAGAGTGAGACAGTTACAGTTTCAGTTTAGTTTCCGACACAGTTTCAGAAAGAGTCCCAGAGAGCTGTTGATCTCGGAGACCAGCCTCGCAGGAGCTGACCGAAAGATTTCTAAGCATTCAGACCTAGACTTCTAACCAAAAGCAATTTTTTTCTATGAAGAACGACTTAGACTTACTCCACCAAAGCAAGTTTTAATGAAATCGCCTGAAGATGCCCAAAAGCAGTTTATTGAAAAACAACTTAAGATATCAAGCCTCGCTTAAGAAACGCAAAAGTGTCACGAATCCATAGAATCTAGAATAGCTTTGTCACAATGTTCTTCCGGCTAATACTACAGGGTGGTCCTAAAGTCTTGTAATACCTAAACGTAATGAGATCAATAGAAGAACAAGTAATACAGTATAACAAAGTACATGTACTGAATTCAGTTTATTGTCTTTCATTGTCACACATCGAGAAAGGTCTGTATAAACAATATAATTTTTATGGCACAAAATGATGGCAGCGTCATGTCCTGTGTGATATTTTCCGAAGCTGTGCTTTGTTGATTGCTGCAAAGGTTCTCCGAACGGTGTCCTTCAACTGATGGGCATTCTAGTAGAAATTATGTGAAACCCTCTTCTTGATGATACCCTACAGAGTGTTAAAATTGTACAAAATAATACAAATAAAATTGTTGCAGAAAAAAAAAAGATATATCTCCACGTTGAACGTACAGGGTGGTCCGATATTCTTGTCACCAGCCTACATCATATTATTTTCTACTTTAACACTTAATTCGTCTAAAGTTTATCACGGTGAACAGTATCAGTTGCTTTCCTTTTTGCCGAAAGTGTTGAATGTGGAAACATTCGCCATTCATTCCTCTTGAAAAAATGGTTCAGGAAAATAGGTCTCTCATATCCAGTACCGGCAGCTGTTATTGCTTTTACCAGCTTTGATGGGCCACCTTTCCTAACGTTTGGTCTTAAGAAACAGGAAATCGCCACATTTTGATTATGTCTTTATTTTCTCTTCGATTTACATCTGCTATTCATTCAGTTGGTTGTTTCGGTTGTCAGTCGTCAAGTGATGTGGTTCTTATTTCTGATTCTGTCGTGCCAGTCGAAGAGGCTCGAAGACGTTCCACGCTAAGACATACAAGCTGTTAGGGTTTCATGTTCTTTGACTTTGACCTGGGAAGTTAAGAAGTGGCCCAACGCTCATCAAAACGTCCAATCTCTCGATCAGAGGCCTTGCAGCCGGATGTAGTTTATCGTCATACACGGGACTATGTTATATTTGTAAAAGATATATATCTAAGATATATAACAATCTTACACGTGCAGTAGACATTTTTATATCAGTTAACTGTTTGATTTTTGTTTTATCATTTCGCTTTAACTGCTCAAGGAAAAATCTAAACTAAATTATTTTCGCCCAGTGTTTCCACCGCCAGATCCGGTCATATTTCCCTCGCTGGCAGTATTTCAATTTTCTTCACGTGAACAACTTTTATCCGAAATTAAGCAGATAATTAAATCAACAGTCAGCGTCGATTTTTTTTTATCATTTGTACTCAATACAGGAAATATTTCGTCTTCAGAGGAAGAATAAACATGGGGAGGAAAGTTGTATTGTTTGAATATTTATACGAATAAACGTTACAATCAATTTCGCTGAAACATAGTTGTTTGAGAATCATGGATATCTAAACAAACACATCTCTCTCACGGTAAATCTTATTTCAATGTGGATTAACATTTCTCAGTCGCAAAGTATTGATTATCATGCTAAACTTGTCGTCCATTGTTACACAAGGAAGACGCTTCCGAGGAAAGCTGATACAGATCGCTTCAATCTATGAAGTACTCGAAATATCAGCATCAGAAGACAAATGTGGAAGATGAGCCTCTCGTCCAACTCGTAGAGTTTGTTAGTTTGAACAACAACATCCAAAATTATGAAATATATATATATATCAAGCTCAAGGCACCAATGTGAAATACACAAACGTGAATATGCGACATTTGTGTAGAAATCCATGATTCTCGAATAATGACAATTTGAGGCAAATGTGAGCGTAAGAGTTATTCTTCTAAATATTGAAACATTAAAAAATAATTGAAATATACAACAGTGGTCACGATATTCGAAGTACTGATTAGATCCATTTATTTACCTCTGCTTACTAAGCCAAATTCAAATGAATGCGTGTTTCATCGGACAATTCACTTAATGAGTCACATAACAAAATGCATAGAACCCATGGCATCCAAAATTAGATCAGAAAGAAAATAAGAACAAACCGTGGTTTCGTTAAAGACACTGGGATATGCAATGATATATTTATTCTAAAAATGATAGCACAAAAAAATACTAATGACGAAGTATGTCTACCTATGTTTTATAGCTGCAAAAGCATTTGATTAAGTTACGACACAAAGAGCTATTTGAACTGCAAGAAAAGCTTAATTTATTTGGTAATTATTCTTTAAAAATTCAGAATTTATACTGAGAGTAACCCGCCAACATATGGATAGAAAATGAATCCAGTAAATACTCAAATATAGAAAGGGGTGTAAGACATGTATGTGTCTTATCAACAGACTTATTCAGCGATTACAGCGAGGCGATCCTGAGAGAAATCAATTGATTATTAAAGGATTGATTATTGTTGGACACAAACTTAGTATTAGACACACAAATCCCATATGATATAGCAGACACAGAAATGAAATTTGGGCAACCGCTAGTGAATGTAAAAGACAGTGAGAAAAATAATAAAGAACAATTGTAAAAAGACTGAATATATGATTGTCAGTAAGGGGAACATCCTAAGATGTGAATTACGGATTGGAGATTTCAAAGTCGTGCAAGTACGAAAATTTGAATATCTGGAAATTGTTTTAAAAAAAGGATGGAAAATGTGACACCGAAATCCGAAGGAGCAATAAAAAAGGACTATTGTACATAGAATCATAAAAAGGCAGTTCAAATTTCTAAGACACAATGAGAAGAACGGGATTGGAGAACAAAACACTCACATGACATTAAAGATATGAAGGTCAGAGTGAAACAGCGGATAAACTACGGAATAAGATTATGCAATTGGATAGCAGAAGCCATACTGAGAATGATGGTGAAAAGATAAATCTTGCTAACAGCTAGAAAGGATTGGGGGCGGTGAAAACCATACAACGCACGTCCTGAGGAATACGGCACATAGAAGAGGATTAAAGACAATTTGACGCTGACTTCTTCTCAAGCTAGAAACATTTTTTTTTTGTTGTGGATTCCGGGATGAAATCCGGTACCAATAAATAACAAACGTCAAGAATGAATATAGGAAAATAAATGTATTAACGTAATAATACAAACTGGTAATACAGGTTAGTAGTTCAAGGAATACGGGTTAGAAGCAAAATATATATGCAGTTTTTGGTATTGCAGTATCGCTGTATGACTTCTTACTGAGTCTACGTGATCGCTCACGGTGACTCTTGATCGCTACGTTTGTTCTGTCTGTCTGTTACCTTCAACATTTCACTCTCCCTCTTCGGTCTGTCACTCGGGTCTTCCCGTAGCAGTAGTATATGTATATACTGGGTGAGTCCATTTGTGTAAAAAGGGGAGGACCCCTCAACACTTTTAATCGAATTCGCCCCAAGTAAGACAAAAGGTTACTGGGTGTGGAAGAATTAGAAAACAGAAATATTAATAAGTAGCGGGAACAATACAAGAGTAGCGGGAAGAGTGTATGTAACGATTGACATTGCATTTAAATCTCTGAAGATTAATTTTGACTGGAAAACATGAACCGCGAAGAGAGTTCTACAATCGAGAAAAGAATCTGTTAGCAGAGAACTTACGGTTACCTCTAGTCATTTCAATCCTAAATTGATGAGACCTTCTTGCCAATCTAGTACTGTGCTTAAATTTGTAAAATCTACCATAGCGATAGCTCATCCGAACAATTACCATGAAAATATTTATAGAAAAGGCACAGGGAGTCAACTTTACGGCGGTAGAAAAGTGACTGAAGTTGAGATGACAGGTCATGCCCAATAATATTGCTGATTCTACTTTGGATTTTATCAAGGTTCTCTAAATATATAGCAGGAGCATCGGACCATAAAGCTAATTACTGATTTTAATTTACTCGGATACAAAGCAACAGCAGATGGTTACCCATGTTGAATTCAGAAACTACAGAGTCTCACTTACGAAGTTTAATTATGAGTTAAATAGCAGAGAAGATTCCCTGGCCGGTTTGCAAGCAGCTTAGGACAGTGCTTCCGAAACGATCTGGTGCAGCAGACCGCAATTTTTTTCAACATGCGAGGGATCCGGTGAGCTAGGCTTTCCACTCCAGCTGGCGATATGGAGGCGTTTTTTTATTTTTATTTTTTTAAAAGTATATCCTATTTCAGGGTCATTTGGAGACTATCTGTACTAACCACAAGGATATTATGTCATATTCATTCAAAGGCTAGTCATCATTGACCTAACAAGTTTTCAAGTTTGTCAGCGATCGGTAACTTATTTGTGACATGCTTTTTGTACGGAATATTTTTTAGAGATAATAATAGTTTTATTGTCTTACTAATTAATACATAGTGGTTGGGAGGAGAGGTAGATTCATACCTTTGCACGTAAGTGAATATAACGAACCCAACTGAAATTCGATCTCGGATCTCCGATTAACAATTCCGAGTCTTTGTCGATTATACCATCCGCACATCCAAGCTTACAGAAGCTGATATTTCCAAGAAGTCACCCATCTTGGTACTTACCAGGATCGACTTTGATTACCTTCGGATATCGTACGGGAACCAGTGTTACAACGTGATGTGGCCGTAAGCTGTAATTTTTGGTCCGACACTGTTATTATTGTTCAAATAAGGTTCTCCGTAGCACAGTTATTTTTCCAGGAATAATGAAAAAAAAAAAAAAATAAATAAAAAAAAAAAACACCAAAAATAAAAAAAAAACACCAAAAATAAAAAAAAAAGACATGATTATTCTTGTATTTGGTAGCCAAGTGTATTTTCCAAAATGAATTATTGTAAAGTAGGATTTTTTTCTTTCTACTCTATTAGTTACTTCGAGATGTGTGCTTCAGAGGTATTGGCATTTACGATAATTTAAAAATCAGATAAGTACTGTGTTGAGCTATCTAGCTCCTTCTCTAATTCCACGAGAAAGACTACCTGGTGTACCAGCAAAATTGTCCAAATCGTGTAACAGCAAATTTATCCAATTGTTAGATTACCCTCTGAACCATTGCATATTGGAAATGAATAAAGATATCTCATTCTCCGAGGTTTTTATAACACTATTGGACTCTACTTTGAACAATAAGAATGTATAATTACTCTCCAAGTTTAACAGAAGATTCGTGATGAAATCGACCATGGATGAAAATTACATGTTCATTATTAATCAATCATAGCTAAGGATCGGAAGCTCATGAAGTATTGAAATAAAAGTTAATATATATATATATATATATATATATATATATATATATATATATATATATATATATATATTATTCCAGGACCATTTTACAACTTATTCACGATGATCTTTACCCTCTCTAACCTTCTAACTTTCTGTCCTGGAGTAACAAGGTGCCTCACAAGTTTCATGTACTATTATATTTTCAATTCTTTTTTCACTGCAACTTAGACTCTCGTAGCTAAAACTTATCTCACAAGTGCCAAACGTATTTTGGTTTAAGTTGGATCTTTTCTAATTGGTCTTTTTAGCTCAAGCTGAAATGATGGTCCCACTGTTGTGACCTCCCGATCCAGTTTTTCTCTCTACTGTTTCCTCTTTTAAACAGTTATTTACCGTTCTCTGGATGGTCCTCAAATGGATTTGAAGAGGGAAGCCAGAGTGTGAATTTTGGTTCTATTAATAAACATCTGAATGATATTTTTCCTCTCATTATTGCTCAGTTGGGAAGACAGTAGTCTTGACACAAAATGATTTTAACTTGTTCTCTCTTTAGTGGAATATCTGAATGGGTTTTCAGTGATTCTAACGGAAAATGATGTCAAGACAACTAACGGTATTATCTGAAGACGTGGAGAAAAGAAACTGAATTAGTTTAGTAGTTTTTTTTACGATATTAAACGTTTTCTGGAAACGATAATTATGCTGTTACAAGATTTGGACAATTTTATGTTACACTCGGTATATCAGCAGCATCAAAGAAGAACTTGCAAAGCAAAATGATATCGAAAAAAAAGCTTCAGACTGTGAGAAGTGAGAAATATTACACCAGCTTATATAAACTAGAAGGATAAAAAAATTCGTAAAACAAATTCAGTGATATATCTCAGACAAGAAGGCTGAAGAATGCATCTGCCAAAAACAGCAGTGACACTAACCATCTAAGAATATTAGTATTATCAAAGCTCGAATTAGCAGAAAAAATATTAAGATGTCAGGTCATATTCTTTAAGGATTTTTGCTTCTCTAAGATGTCTGTTAACATTAGTTATCAATTTATTTATCGTTTACACTTTTAGATTTTTAATAATTTAATTGGTCCTTAAGTTTTTAGATCTTACCAAAAGTTAGAAGAAGGCGCTTCAAATAAATTTAAATCTTTGACAATAGTTTTCAGCAGATTTAGAATCACTAATGTATGAAGAAACAGAAAAAATATTGTTAGAAACAAAGAAAAATACTGAATTGTTTTGTAATGTCAGTCCAGCTATATGGCAGCGAATGCTGGGCAATCTCTTCATATGGGAAGAAGAGACTTGAAGCAACAGAAATGTGGTTCTACAGAAAGATGCTGAAAATACGTTGGGCAGAATATTTGAATAATGACGATTTTCTAGACAATGAAAACAAAAATGACGCTTATAGTCAACATCAGGAAGAAAGTTCACATTTTCAGAACACAGAGGGCTTAAAAATTTGATACTCACAAGATAGTTTGACGGTAAGAGAGTCGGTGGGAAGCAACACATAATATAGATGGTGAGTTTAAGTGAATGGATAACGGAGCAGATTTGGAGAGAGATAGCAAAAAGACAAAAATTATTAAGAGCTACAAAGATTAGAACATTGTGGAAAGCAATGATCGCCAACGGTGGGGCAATGGATAGCGGCTCGGATTGAGGAATCGGAGAGCAGAGTTCGAATTCCAGTCAAATCCATTACATTTACTTACGTGCTAATACCCTTGGAAAGGTATGAATCCTATTCTCCCCACCCAGCTATGGGTAAATAGCAAGAGAGACCGGGTTCTGTAGCCTTGGATGGCAACTTGTGCTACCGCAGAAAGAAAGAAATGGCAATCTACTGCGGGAAGAATCTGCCTCGTCAGTCATGTATGGAAAGATACATTATCGCCCAAACGTGTATCAAGGTTCAATTACCCTTTTAAGGAATCGTTCGGATTTTCTAGAAAGCGCATATCTGTTCGAAAGTCCATATCTATTGGCGTTGTTTTCGCTTGGCAAACTTAAACGTAATTTAAAATACTGTGAAATCAAAAATAAAGCTGGTCTTAAAGTTAAATATCATTATTTTTTTCCAGCTCAAGCAAGGCAACAAAGCCACTAATATGCTTATAAAGATGTTGAAAAATATGAGTAAAAGTAAAAAGCTTTGCTATATAGAGAGAGCAATAAAAGAAGAGATATTAAGAAGTAGGATAATAACGATTGACATTGCATTTACATTTTTGAAGTTTAAAATTAAAGGGAAAGTAAAAAAAAAGAAAAGAAAAAAAACTGAAGAGAATCCCAAATAACTACGAGAAAAGAAACGGTTAGAATAGAACTCACGGTCACATCTAGCAATTCGAAACTTAAAATTCTGAGGTCTTGCCGCTAATCTAATACTGCGCTTAAATTTATAGAGACTAGGCACTATAGAGTTCATAATCTATTTATAGAAAATGTATAAACATGCTACATTACGGCGGTGGGAAAGGGACTGAAGCTGAGATGCCAGGTTAGGACCAATAACATAGCATATTATTTCGAGGGTTTTATCTAAATATATAGCAGGAGCATGAGACCATATGTGTCAGCAATATTCAAAGTATGGACGAATGGTAGACCTGTAAATATGTAAGATAAATTCGGGTGAGAAAAAAAAAACAAATTTACTAGTAGCGGACCTATCACTTGATTGAATATAATCTTTCCACTTTACGTCAGCCTGAGAAGGTGCAGCGGTTCACTCTCCTGAAGGTTAGCATCAGCTATGCAAATGGAAGACAGAAAAGGTTATCTCAGATGATTCATAGAGGGCCGTCTCGTTTTGGGACGTGAAAATAAACAAGCCATTCTATGGCCCAATTAACAAAAGAATGTAGGTCATTTTTCAAATCACTTGCCAATTTGATCTTAGCGAAATTTTATCAATATTATTGAAATAATTAGAATAAAATAATCAGTTTATTTCTTTATAATATTGTTTAGCAAACTAATTACCGTTACCAGAATTCTTAGCGTTTTTTATAGACTTTATTTACGGAAAATGAAGACAAGCAAGGCATTTTACAAACCTTTCCTTTTAATATATAGCGAAAGTAACGTTTTTCAGTGCATCTTTCCTGGAGTGAAATTCTATGTTATTTTGAAATTTTCTGCTAAAAATGCCCCTGGCTGGGTAAAAAACATGCAAGAAGAGTGTCTTGAAAGAACTCAAAGATAACATTATATGAAAGGACAGTTGAAGCTTGTTGGGAAGTTGTTGATGCATGGAAATATTTCTTTTCCCCGGAAGGAAGGGAAATAGACAGGAAAAGTAATGGTTAGGAAATCTTTTAGATCCACCATCTTAGTATTCGTATTTCAGTTATATCTGATCTTTAAGCTTTAGTCGATAAATGCAAGGCTTTAGGGCGTGAGCCCACATGATTTTCGGCTTTCCTTTTTCAATATTTCCATCTTTCATGATGTTATTATTAGCGATAATACTTTTGGAATTGTGACTGATATCTGATAGCTGTTCTTTCATCTCCCTTGCCTAGTGAACGTGTCAAGTAAAGAGAAGACTTTTTAAAACGACATTGCTTCTTTAGCTGTTTCAAAAATATGGTTAGGATATGTTCGTATCAATTTTATAAATCTTTACTATACGATGTGTTCCAACAAGTAGGAATCAAGACAAACTTTTCTAAAACAGAAAAATAGGAATGTGTAATAAGAAGGAAATCAATGATGGCACATATCCTGGTTCTATCATAACAATTCAGGATATTTCTTTCTTTTAATTGAATTCACCCCAAGCAAGGCAGGAAAGCCACTGAGTGCAAGTAGACACTTCCCAAAGCCAGGGATTTAATTCACAACCGCCATCTCATCAATTTCACAAACCGGTGGTTTTATCCGTAGAAACAGCCAAGCAATAACTAAACAGTGCTAAATAAAATAAGAACTAGATATCCCTAGACATGAGCAGTCAAACGAGAAACTCTACCTCGGCAGATTAAATAAAGGGCCCGGTTAATAAATTCACTGTAGCTTATCCGGATCGACATACACCTGAGGAAGGCCGGAGGGCACAGCGGCCAAAACATTGTGATAACAACACCAAAGTCGAAGACAATAGTTCGAATATAAATAGTGTAGAGATCGAAAATATTATTTGAAACACTTTGAGAGCGATGTCTAATTTCTGTACTTATTTATCCTAAATAAAGTTTGATGTTGATTGAACGGCTTTTTGCTCATGGCTTGTGCAACCTATATAGATTTTAATGTTTTCGTGATTCTGATTAGATGAGATATTTAAATCAGTTAATTTATAATATTTATGCTCTGTAAATTTACATTGAGCATTGTTTTGTAAAAATAAAATTAAAAATAACAAGAACAACGGAT